ATTGTCTAAATGCTAAATCTTCAAGCTGCTCAGAGGCCTTGATAATGTTTGAATTTGCACAGGATTCTGACATGAGGCATTCCGATGCCTGCCCTCATTTGCTAATTTGCAGCAGATCTGAACAGTTTCTCGTTTTTGAGGTGTATGTCCTAACTACGATGTCATTTGCTGCATATGGGTGAACACAGTTGAGAAAGGGGAGATTATGACTATGAATCATATGCCGCTTTTTTTTTGTTCTGGGCTTAGATGCTTAGGGTTTTTTTCAGTGTTTTACATATTTACTTCAGCCATTTCCTATACAAACTTCCTTCTCATCATTTTATTCCTGGCTACCTAATTTTCTTTCTTCTTTCTGTCATAAACCTGGCAGCCAGACTTATGGAAGCCACTGGGTAATAGAGTTGAGTTAAAAGTTAAATTCTGCTATCCTCATATATTTAGTCCTGAGACCTTCTGGTAGCTGTGGAGAAATGATTAGAATCTGATTTTCAGAATTAAAAAATGCTCATGTGAATCTGGAACTTTCTGTTATTATTTGAACACACAGTTGTTATCAAACAACTAACTCAATTTGATAAAACTAGTCTTTTATACCAAACAGTGCATATAGAAGAATTTGACACAATACATTACTGTTGAATATTAAAGAAATATGATTAAACAGTACATGAATTATTTGCTTTCATAATATGTAAAGCTATCATTAATAGATAGTAAGTTGTATTTTTAGTGGGATATTTCTCATTTAGTTTTCATTTTGGTCTTAATGATTATGCAGCTAAAGCAATAAGAAGAGCTTTCCATTATTATTCATTCTTGCAGAATAGTAATTGGCAGAAGAAAAGAAATATTAAGTGAGAAAGCATGTTATAATTTGGCCCAGGTCTTGGGCCAAATTATAGATATTAGTCTTTTAAGAGCTAGGTTTGTTGCAGATTTTACTTGCTGTCTGGCACTGAAAATTCATCACTTTTCTAAAAAATTTGGCACCCTGAAGCAGCCTATTGTTTCCTGTAATTTGACTCATTCTGCTGAAAGATAAGTCACTAAGCTTTGGAAAACTAAAAATTGCAAGGATACTTTGAGGATCCAGTTTTCCAAATCAATTTCTGACTTCAGGCTAGAGGACTGTATGTATATGTGTACATGTAAAGACAGTTAAATCACCTAAGATCTAAATACCTGTTTTAAGTGGCTAGTATGGATTTAACAGACTAGCCAACCTTTAGGTAATTAAGTATTACCCTCAATGTAATTTCTACCTTCAAATATTCAGAGCAGAATATGTGCTTTATAGACTACAGGGACTGTTTAAAAAGCATCTGGGTTTTAAAATAGACTGGCCTGTGATTTTCTGCTTTTAGTAAAATTTTCAGGAATGTGGACTCCAGTTAAGCTGCAAGTCTCTCTGTGGCTTGAGGAGACTCATTCGTCTGCAGCCTTTCCTCCTGCCTGGCTCCTCGCAGCTTTGTGCTTGCTGTAGAATGCTACTCTGTCTTGCCTGGTTAGGGACTCAGTTTTGAAACAGTCCTCTCTCCTATAGGAACCTCCATAAACACCACTATCRTTAGGAACTGTGGAAGCCTAGAAGGAAAGCGTGTTTGGCCAGCCATTTGATAGCATTTTGTGTTGTGTGTGTAATGTAGATAGTCAAAATAATGGGGAGTTGGCCTAAAATCTTCCTGGTGTAAATCATGTTGTTGTTTGTGGTTGTAGATCTGATAGGTCATATACATTACTTGGAAGAGTACTGACATTTTTAAGGTCTTTTTTGGAAATGGGCTGTCAGATTCATCCCACTGGTGTCTGCATTCAATTCATTTGTCACTAACTGCAGGGATCTTGCCCAGTATAGAAGGGAGCTGCTTGGAGTAAGAGGTCCGCGAAGTGTCTTTCTTCCAAAGGTCTCTCTGTGACATTATACCCACCTCCTTCTCTCAAGTCTAGTGCAGTGCTAGCGTTCAGGCCACATTCTGTTTATTCTAGAAGGAGGGCAGGCAGTACCCCACACAAGTCTGCACCGTTTTTTCATAGAGTGATTTTAATATTCTTCATATTATTAGCTCTTCCATGTACACATCCTCTCATCTTGTTAGCTTTTGTGCCCGCAAGCCTGCCTGAAACGGGGATTTCATGGAGCTCCATGTATGTAATGATGCTCGAGTCCCTTTTTGAGAGTGTATAATTAATTTGGAAGCATCTAAGGCAGTAATTTACATATTTTTCATCAGCATGCATTGACTTGCCTTTGCCTATATTGAATTTCATTTGTCATAAAGATGATAAAAAAAAAAAACCTGGTCAATATGAGTCTCTCCCAAGTTCTCTGCACTCCCTTTTATTTCTTGTTTCTCCTGACCACAGTGCTTTGTGCCATCCAAACATAACCTTGTTTCACTGCTCCTTCCTTTATCAGCATCATTAGTGACACTGGTCTTCATACAGCATCCTGAGGAGTAATATTTTTAGCCTTTTGCTGTGGTAAAAATTGACCCTTTAATTCAGGTCTTGCTTTCTGTCTTCTGGGCTAGTTTTTCATCCAGGAAACTGTTGGCATTCATGTCGTGTGATTTATTTGTATCTAAATAAAGTATACAACTGTTTACTGCATTCACTTCTCTAGCAGTGTATTCAAAGCGTTCAAGCAGATTAACAATATCTAATTCCAGTATCTATTAGTAGTGTCTAATTCCAGATTAGCCATATCTAATTCTAGGAGATTAGTAACATGTCAAGAAGCCATGTCATTTTCAGGTTTAAAGAACTGTCCTTTATGATTTCTAACCAAATTTCCAAATACTGATAAAGAAATTACTGATCTGAAAATCCATATATCACATTTAAAGCTTTTTTTTTTTTTTAATACAGTGGCAGTGTGCACTATTCTTTCAGAGCAGAGCAATGGATCTTTTCATTAAGATACTGTGTTTTGTTGGTATAGCAAATTAGCTATATCATCCTTAATCTTCAGAAGGTTTTTATTGTCTCATAATTTAACTTTTTAAGACAAATTATGGAGATTATAAACCAGATGAGCTTCCTTTAAGGAGGTGTATCCACTGTCGATAGGCAATTGATCATGAATCAGTAACAGCACTAAAGGCAAGCGTTGTTGTGTTGTGTGGCAGAACTGGTTGAGATCTTTATTCACTACTAGCTTTGCTTTGGAAATATATCCTTAGGAGAAAACTCGGCTTCTCAATTCATTTCTTATCTTATGAGCTGTTCTGCTTTTATCTCCATCAAGTTTCTAAAACCTTGAAACCTTACTTTCTGTTTGTACACAACATTTGCTTCGGGCAAATGTGAGCCCTGTTTTTAAATGAAGTGATTGTGACATCCCAACTCTGTAGTCTCTCATAACAACCTCAATTCTTGGACCCTGGGCAGCAGGACAGGGGGCAAGGTGTAGACTTGAACTTGAAATTTATTAGTAATGGCAGAAGGAGAAAATGCATTTTCTTCTTATATTGCATTATATTCAAATTAATATATGAGAACTAGGAGTTGTCATAACACTGTTAGGATCAAATAAATGTTTGAATCACCAAATTGCTCTTGTGCAACATATAACTACCCTATAATTTGTTACTACAAAGTCTAGAGCAGAAGCAGCAATTGTAGTTCAAAATGATTTATGAACAATTTTCCTAGAAATAAGGTATTTTTGGTATTATATTATTTTTTGAAAACTATTTATTTGGCTGACAAACTATTAAAATTGTTCTTCTCAGAGGCTGAATCATTTTAAAATAAAATGTCCTAGGGATATTCTAGACTAATTCCATTCTTTCTGTCCAAAAAGTAGTATAATTTATTTTGTATTTTGAAATATGTTGAATAATTTTAGATGTTACATATGATTCCCTTTAGTCCTCAGAGAACTGAGTGATAGTTTATCATCAAGTGCCTATTCTAAAAAGCTGAATGGATAATATAGACCTAATCATGGATGGTGGTTTTTTCAGGGTAATAATTCAGGGGAGAACTTTAGTTTTTATAAGATCTCTATCTCATTTGCTGCTATGTGGGGTATGTGTGATCATTGATCCAGAGAATTACAGTGGAAAAAAGACAGTTGATGGGCTGAGGAAGTTGAATGCCCCCAAAAGACAATTTGATGTCTCAAACACGGAGATTCCTGAAGCGAGTTTGCTAGGCCACTTTGAACATTTGTTGAAGATCCTTCTGTCCCTCCTTTTTGAAGCGCTTGTCTTCAGGCTTGAAAGCTGTTTTGCAGAGCTGCTGAGCACTCAGGTGTGTATCTCAGTGTTGCCAGAGGGTCTTCAATGAGTTGTATAAGCTGCTGTAAATTGCCAATTGCATGAATACCACATTGTAGGTTTTGTGTGTTTGTACTGAAAGGTGGATTTATTGTGAGTAACTTTGACCTCGATTCTGTGGGCCAATTTCTCATTAGATTTTCAACAAGGTCATCACATCATTAGCTTGGAGGTGTCATATCAATTGGATTTATTAATTCTGATAAGGTACGGAGGGCTAAATGTTGGGCAGAATTTAGGTGAGTAACTTTCCTAACTCTTTGGAGCTGGGCTGCTAAATAAAATAAGATTGAACAGAGTGTTCTAATTCCTGTATCACCTAGCTTTTTTGCTTGACTTTCTAGACATCATTTAACAGGATTTAAAATGTAATTTCATTTTAGATAAAATCTATGACAAGGACAATGTGGGTATTCCTAAACCTCAGAGAGTAAAATAAAATATTTTGTGTTGTGTAACCTTCCTCTTTGGTTGTGATGTACTTTCTTTGTTACACTTTTATTAGTGCTTTTCCTATCTAATGCAAATGAATCAAGGGATGACTTTTGTATTGCAATGACCATTCTTCCAATGGCTGGTACTGCTTTTTGCTGTTTTGTTGCTTTTAAAAAATCCCTCCCTATGCTGAGCACATTTCTATTGCAATCTGTACCAAATGCTTTTCTTCTTTTTTTTTGTTTCAGCTATCACTTAGATGTTGATATGTAAAGCAAAATGGCAAAAATCAACACCCAGCACTCCTACCCTGATATGCACAGACTATCTGTCAGAAATACTGATGAAGACATTGAAAGGATTGAAAATGGCTTTATCAGGTAATCCATTTCTTTCTTCATAGTGGAGAGGACAAAATTTGCTGAATAATCTATGGTTGGCTATATGGTGTCACATTAGAGGAGTGTAGTAACATGTCACGGCTGACCTAATGCACTTAACAGACTTTTAATAATGAGTAACCAAAGTACAGAAGAGACAACAACAGGAAAGTTTTCATGTCTTGCAGTTGTGGAACTAGAACCTGTATTCAGGAATAGCCTCCATCCTCACATTAATGGGAATTACACAAGCTCAATAAGAACCCCCTTTCTTGAGTAGCTACTCGCATTGCAGGGTCTGTGGTGAGAGGTACTGTGGGATTTGGAGAAAAAGGGATCCTCCCAGTGCTGTGCAGTGAAGAGTGTTAGGAAGGTTTTTAGAAGTAACATCTATGATATATAAAGTACAAAGAATCTTGACATGTTTGAACTGGCTTTTCAGAGCCTCTCACTGCACAGTAGCACTTAACAGTTTCTTTGTGTTTCCCTTCCTCTCTTTAGGTAGTTTTAAAGTGGCTACTTAAAAYGTGTCAGCAGTGAACTTATACGTAGGTTACATAGTATCATTARTTTTCTCAGTCTGGACAAGCCTGGTATGCCTGCAAGAAACTGTGTGATGCTCCACATCACCCTTGCAGATTGCAAAAGTGGCTTCCTTTTGGCCTGCTTTCATTAACCGTGTCAGCTACATTGGCTTGGTCAGACTGTSTTAGTAATCAAAAGTCTGTTGGATGGTAGAACCGCTGGTATCGGAAGCCCCTAACATGTAGTTTAGATGTTCCCTGTCCTTGCACAGTATGTCCCTTTTTCTCTTCCTTGTTGTTTACAAGGCATTGTAAACATGGCATCTTCTGGCATATCGACATCAGTGGAAATGGTCCTGTTTTTATGTGTGGTATGGCCTGCTTGAATTAGTTACACTTCCTTCTCCTTGGGAGATTTGCAAGGCCGTGCAAGRCCCTATTTTTCCATATGCAGTGATGCCTCAGAAAAAGGGAAAACACAGATCAACATGAGCCTCTTACTTCCCTTCTRTGTTTCATGACCTTTTTGTAGAGAATATTAGTGATCTGGAGCTTGCAGAATGGAAGTATTGGCAATGATGTGAGAGTGTGGTTGTAAATGTAGAAATAAATGATCACAGTCAGCAGTAGCTTCAGAGGAAATGACTTAATCATGCAAGCTAAAGAGATTGATATATGAATTGCACTTTATCAGGTTGGTTATGATCCTGAAAAGACATTTATTTAAAAACATGCAGTTTGCTGTGATCAGCATTGTTACAGAGAGTTTAGAGTAAAAAGATAACAACCTCACTCTATAAAAGAGATGTCACATTTAATGTGGATGGGTTGGCAAAGTATTAGTAGTAAGTGTATATAACACCCTTKTAATATAATTTCTGAAGAAATCTGTGTGTGCAGAACCACGTATGTATTGATTAGAAAGCAATGTAGCTTAGATTGCTCAAGCTGTAAGAATGCAATTAGTATTTACCAGAAGACAAATTCATAATCTGTTTTGGAAAAACAAAAGCATTTAATTCAATTTCATTTTGCAAAAGCAAGGTTTTTCTGCCTGAAATGAAGAAGGGAATGAGGGCTATAGGGAATTTCAGCAAATCCAAAATGATCAGAAAGATTAGAAGAGAATTTGGAAAGCTGGTATATGAAGATACTAAAATATGGTTGTTTGGAATGTTATCTATCACAAACATTAAAAAACATTTCTCATTCTGAGATCTATTGTAAAACTTCAGTCATTATCAAACAGAGTATAAACTTTCATCTTCAGATCTTCACATTGAAGAGTGTTGTGGGACATTAGTGCTTAAGCTGCATCAGACAAAATTCTGATTTACATTCCTTAATTTCACATTTGATTTAAAGTACATCTGTAGCAAAAGACAGATGCCTATTCAAAGTTTTAGCTCTTTTCTGTCTTTCAGTAAAATTGCGACAGAGTGTAGACTTCAGAAAATGCAGGTTTTCTAAACTCATTATATTTCCCCTTTCCTCTTATCTTCCTATAGGTCGTCTCGGCTATACCTCAACAAAGCTACTAAGCATGTTACTTAGTTCTCATTAAAGGCAATGGGTGTTAAATCTATGCTTGATTCTTAGGATGTGCCAAAGTGATTTCTGTTGCAGAATGAGGTATTATCAAGGCAAAGCCTTGATGTTGTAAATAAAAATAAATAAATACATAAAAAAAAAAAAATCCCTGAGAAAGTTAACAGAAAGTTGCTGGTGGTCTTCAAGCTCTCATTCTCTATTAAGCTAGAATTCATGATTCCTGTACCCTTTAGGCTATAGTAAAATATGCTGTAGATCAAGCCCATTTTGTTAAACAGAAATCAAGAAAGCAAAAATTAAAGGTAGGATATTGATTTTTTTTTAAATCCAGCTTATCTATTTAAGCATCTTTCATAGGAGAGCAGCAAATCACCTTATGGACAGAGCTTGCCTTGTTATTCAGCACTGTAGACATCTGAATTTCAGTGTCTGTGAGTAGATGTCTAAGTTCCCACTAGCAGTCAGGAGAGCTTAGAGAGCTGTTCAGTTTATTCTGAAGTTGAATAGTTTTTTAGGCTCCTTTGATGGTATTGATTATGGGAGATATTCACTTGCTTAAACACAGAGATCTAAAGCTATTTAAGCTATTGCAGAGTTTCTGATGCATCTAGCTGGGTCTAGTGGGTATGAGGTGACAGCTATGTCCTCGACAGAAATCAGGTAAAGTTCTTTGAGACAGTCCAAAGAGTCCTAGACTCCTATACCGAGGCAAGTGAATCTCTAAGACCTCAGTTGATTGGAGTGGAAAGTTATATACCCAGCTCATACCTGGAGCCAAATCCTACTCTCAGAAATCTGGCTGATGGTCATTATTCAGAAGGATTTATGGGAGTAAATTYGCTCTCAAGAGAGCTGAAGAGAGATATGAGAGCCCTTTAGGCGAGGAACAGAAACCTCAGCTTCTGGGAGTTGTCTCTAAGATGTAGTGACTTGACTATCCCTGTGAAAACACAGCATTTTTCAGTGTAGGCCCAGGAGGCACCATCATCTGCTGATGCTTCTGCTTTGTAACCTGCTCTCTGTTCCTTGGTGTATTGCATTGTCACTTCTCATGTTATTTCATACCATGTAATAGCCTAGGACAATAATGGCAGCATTGCTCTTTTTGCTGCAGAAGCCAGGTGACCAGTAAAAACTGAGTTTTATGATATAGAATTAAGATATTAGGAAAGTTCATGTTTGATTTTTCTTTTTGATTCACATTTGTGTGAATTAAGGTGGAGTGTGTTTATTAGATATAATTCTTTTAAAATCTTAAATCTTAATTCTCTTTGTCAACTCCTCTTCTGTGAGCACATATAAAACTAAGGTGCTAATTACTTCCTGGTAGACATTTGAAATTGTACTGAAAGTTCTTCCAAAGATATTGCAAATATCATTGTGATTGGTCTTTTTCTGACAGTAGCATATTATCAGAGAAATATAAGAATCTCTTGTGCATWACAAAGTGGAAAAAATGATCCTTAATGAATATGATGCAGTCTTGCAAAAGTGAATCCCAAAGAAAAACACAAAGAAAAGCTCAGTAGTTAAACAAAGAGATTCAGGGCAAGCTTTGATAAAGTCCTTGTTCCACTGAAGTCAGTTTCCAAACTAGAAGAAGAGTGAGGCCAAAGTTCAGTCTGCTTTGCTTAAAACTTAATTATTGTAGTGCTAATAGGCAGTCTTGCAATTATGGGAATTGATGGGAGTTGGCAGATACTGCACATGACGTAGTGTTATTATCACCGTGTGCTGTTAGATGTAATTGAGCTGCTGTCTTGTTTGCTCCTTGTGGCAATCAGCATCCAAAGAGCTTTGAAGATCTGGAGCCTGTTTCGCTCTGCAGTAGGAGAGCTTTCCTTAGGCATTAAGCCTGCAGTCATGCAGCTACTTGCAAGACACTGGTATGAAGGACAGTGATGCTAGTCAGGGCTAACTACTGTAGAATTATCATTTTCCCTTTCAAGTCAGCCAGGAGCAAAAGAGGAAAGAGATGTGTATTTGCTTTGACTCGTAAAAGGAGAGCACTGTTAGGAATTCCAGACTCTTAAACCGACACAGTATCTGAAAGAACAGCACTGAAAAAAGCAGTAGAGAGTTTTTTGTAAAGCCCCTCGGAGGTTTTGTATCTGTGCTGAATGAAAGCTGCTGATGCAGTACAGGAAGTGTCAGAGTAGCAAATGTTGTTTCCATGTGTCATGTGTCTGCACACCAGGTATGTATTTGCCAGTGAAGCAGCAGCTTCTGAGCATGCTGGCATGGGTGCAAGAGCCTTACCCGACTTTGTTAGGTGTTGGCAGGTTCCAGAAAAGTGGGAGCTTAGAATTAGCTTTGTGTTTATCATCTGTATGCTGTGTCTTCTAGAAAGAGGATAATTTGCCACATTATCTTCTGATGTAGTGACAGAAAGTATTGGATGGGGATAAATCTGATGGAGGCTGTATAGAATTCTTTAAAATTCTTTAAAAACTTTCACAGAACTCATTCGCTATGTGAGGATTCATCCTCTGAATTGCAGAGGGTCATTTCAGTGGAGGGAAGAGGTCTGCCTGAATCTCAGACAAGCTCATTCACGGGCAGAGGAGCAATGGCAAGGTAATGTACTGTTTAATGCTGTTTCTATTGTTAAGTGTAACATACTTGAAAGAGACTGGTTGCTGGTTAGAAGGAAGTCTATAAGATAAACAGAAGCTGATTTTCACTTTGGTCATGTACTCACACAATTGCTAGAATCCTAGAGATGCTTAGTGAGCTCACACAAAGTAGTCTAAATAAGAGAAAGGATTAATTTACATGATTAGCTCTGAAAATATATTGAATATTGAGGAAATACTTGAAGTGAGACCACTTACTAAAATAAATAACTAAAAATTATTAAATTATTTATTAAAATAAATAACTAAATGTTTGGTTCTGTCTGATAGTTGATGCATTGCTAGTTTCCTATCCTAATGTTTTCCTGTGACCTAATGATTGTTCTTTTGCTGATAGTTGGCTCTGAGGAGGGAGGAAACAGAGACTCTTGTGCAGGGAGTGCATAGGTTGCTCTCTATTTTTAGATATATATGGTTATGTTTATGTTGCATTGTTGCCCTTACTCAACAAAGCTCAAGTTGATCCACACTAAGTTTTTGCTTAAGTCATCGACTTTATATGGACTTAAACATATTCCTGAAGCAGAGCAAGTGCTGAAGTCCTTTTCTGAATCTGGGTTTCTGTATCTGACTTAAATATTTGCAGCTGAGACTACAGAGCTCTGACCATCTTCCTATACCATTGTTACGTACGCTACAGAACATTCTTTAACCATATCGTATTTCAAAGAACAAAGAATAATTAATTATAAAAYTAATTGGACAGTGGAGATTGCACTTGCCATTCCCTTTTGGGCTGTCAGATAGAAACACTGCTATGTGTACTAAGTCCACGAGCAGTTGCTTTTAGGTAGAAGAGATGTGTGTGTGTGTATGTGCATGTATGTTATGATATACACAAGCATATGTGTATATATATATATATATMTAAACAAACTGTGATTGAGCACTTCCTTATAAGTATTGAAGGAAGTATCTTCTTGTATTACTATTCTCTATTCCTTTTCAGAACAGTTTGAATTACATATATGTGCAGCTGGAATTACTTAYGCTCAGAACCTACAAGGAAGCCTGTGATGAAAACTTGTATGCCTAGCAGTTCAGATGTCATGGCAATGTAATATGCCTGTTGAATGCAGATGCTCGAGGGCCTAAAACAACATAATTTGTTGGACTTAACTCAGGATTCTTAATTTGTGATAGAAAGGACAGAAAATGTGGAAATAATACATCATGGCAGAAATCAGAAAGGAGTATTTCATTGTTCACATAGAGAGGCTCTCAAGTTTGTAAAACTTGTTTGACTCTTTAATGGGTCTGGATACTTTATAATGTAATTAATAACATCCTTATTAATGGTTTTTCTTACGATTCCTTAAGTGAAAGCTGAGGTCCACAGGCAGAGAAGGATTYTGGAGATTAGTTTTATTTTTGCAGCTTTCTTTCAATATGATGATGAATCTAGTAACTAATCTGCGACTTTCATGTGGAATTTTATGTTTTTCTTTTGTGTCTTCGGTAGGCCTTGAGTTCTCTTGTTGAAAGTATCAGATCTGGAAATAGCTTTTTCTAATTTCTGATATGTGATATTCCTTCCTTTTGATGTTCTTTTATCTCAAAGTAAGAGATTTGGGCCTGGGCCTTTGACATGCTGTAGTGTTAGACCCTTGAGCATTTCAGTCAAGAAATAGATGTGATTTGTCATAAGACGTAAGTTGGTCRTTTCATCACAGGCCTCTCTGTGGATTCTTACAAATGTTATTAAACAGGACTGAACAAATATAAAGGGATTGCCTTGAGAAGTCCAAAAGCTCTTTGAGAAACTATGAAGTGGTCAGTATTTCATTGTATTTCCAAGGTTAGGCATGGGAAACTGAAATAATATCACTCCATCCAAATTGGACTGCTTATGGGAAATAACACAGACTATTGTGTTATTACACAGAATAACAAAGAATACTGCCCATTTCATTTTATTTTAGTGTTGTGCTACAAATTTAGTATTAGGCTTTTTTTTTAATGCACCAGATAAGATTGTATGCAACAGTCAATTAATGATTCTCATGAAGTATTTGTTCTCCTGTTGTTATTAATGTTTGGAAATACACACGATATGTTAAAGACTGTACTGAATGGGTTTGCCAGTTCATCTGAACTGGTTTCACCAGTACAGCTTAGGGGTTGACCTGCTGGAGAGCAGCTCCATGGAGAGTKATTTGGTAGTCCTGGTTGACACCAAATTAACCATGAGGCAGCAGTGTGCCCTTGTGACCRAGAAGGACAATGGGATCCTGGCCTGTGTCAGGAGGTGCGTTGCCAGCAGGTCAAGGGAGGGGATCCTACCCCTCTCCTCAGCTCTGGTGAGGCTGCACCTGGAGTATTGTGTGCAGTTCTGGCCTCCCCAGTACAAGAGGGGTGTGGAGCTTCTAGAGAGGGTCCAGCGGAGAGCAACCAAAATGATTAAGAGACTGGAGCATCTCTTGTATGAGGAAAGGCTAAGGGAGCTGGGCCTGTTTAGCCAGGAGAAGAGAAGGCTGAGAGGGGATCTGATCAGTAGGTAGTAGGTATAAATACCTGAAGAGTGAATGTAGGGAGGAAGGGGACAAGGTCTTCTCAGTGATGGCCAGTGACAGGACAAGAGGAAATGGGTATAAGTTGAACCACAGGCAGYTCCATCTCCATGTGAGGAAGAGCTTCTTTCCTGTCAGGATGACAGAGCCCGGAAACAGGCTGCCCAGGGAGGTTGTGGAATCTCCTTCTCTGGAGATCTTCCACCTGGATGCCACCCAGTGCCCCATGCTCTGGGTGTCCCTGCTGGAGCAGAGGGGTTTGACTAGATGATCTCTAGAGGTCCCTTCCAGCCTCAGCCATTCTATGGTTCTAGGTTTGACTAGATGATCTCTAGAGGTCCCTTCCAGCCTCAGCCATTCTATGGTTCTAGGATTCTGGGATTAGTGGGGAAGGTTGGATGTCGGTATAATTTATGTTCTATTGAATTCTTCAGTCCCTTCCAACCTTAACCATTCTGTGATTCTGTGGTTGTATTGTCTGCCCAGAAGAATACAGTCTGGGACACAACATGTGAATAACACCCACGGTGAAAAGTTACATATGGGGGTTAGGAAACTGTCTCTACTGTATGTACCAGCCCTTAAGCATTTGCTCCTCTAAGTCTCTTATTTTTATGTAAGTCTATGCTCCTCACGTTATTACATAATTTCATAGATTTTTATCAACTTTCCCATCCCAACTACTTGATAACCTGCATTTAATCAGTAATTGTCTCTTGCTTCTGCAAGTTCTAAGACAGTGGACTAGGGAGTGATGTGTGAGTTACTGTGAAATTTGTGGCCCTGGGAAAAGTGAATGGGTTCATAGTGTGAATCCATGAAGCTCCATTCCTTTATGAGGTGCAGAAGTGGAGGAAAATCCTCTTGGAGAACTCCATGTGGAAATGGCTTAAATCGTGCRTTTGTCTTGTCTAGTTTAGTCAATAATGTTGCATGTCTGTTCCTTGCAGGCTCTCGCAGTTTGTTGTATCTCTGAGGTCATGGGCCACAAGACATTTGCATCACGAAGACCAAAGACCAGATTCTTTCCTGGAGCGTATCAGAGGGCCAACATTCATAGAGGTGTCCAGCAGGCAAAATAAAATCCACTCCAGTGTGGGTGTCGATGAGCAGCCTGGGAAACTGAACAGGTAAGATATGTTTGTMCTTTTTTCTTTGTGATAAGAGCTTTATTTTTATAAAGAGAGTTCAATATGAAGTTTATCCAGGGAGATGAACAGCGTCTCAAATGCAGCTCAGGAATCTCCACATAACTTACATATTACAACTTTCAGCAGACTTTTCATTCTCCCTCAAAAGTAGCTTAGCAGAGATCTTGAAGTAGAGGGTTTTGATCATGCCGCTTGGGGCAGAGCAGTTTCTCAGAAACAGAATTGTATTTCAGGCTTCCTAAGTGGGAACTTTTCATAAAAGGCTATATTSATCTGTGTGACCTGCCAAGTTGCTGTTGCAGAACTCCTCTCCACTGAGGATGAACGCTGTTCCCGCTTCAAGGATTCAGGAGGCTGCAAGTTGTCACTTCTCAGGACATCCATCATTCATGTTACACACATTAGCAGGTAGTGCTAGGAAACTCCAAACAAGCATCCGTGCCGAATGCCCCATTATTTGGTTACACCTGCCCAAGTGTTCAGCTGTTAACATTGCAGAAGGCTTCTGATGCAGAAATGAGAAAATCTTTKGACCGCTGGCTGAACTCATCAGCACATATTCGGTCTTTGGTGTGGAAGGCAAATTTAGTGTTCTCCTAAGTATTCTTCCTAATAAAACAACTGAGGCCTGCAAGAGAAGGTTTTAAGTGTTTCCAGTCTTTTGACTGTATGAATTACTTTATGAAKACATGAGGTATGTATCAGAGATATWTATCTATATATTTATGTCAGAGATATAAATAAAACTCCAACTAAAGGTAGTAAACGGTCCCAAGTTGAACAGGTTTTTTGGATAGCTGGATTGGGTAAGTAGGCAAGTCATCAGTCATCTGAGATTTGTTTCAAAATCTCAGCTAGTAATTCAGATTAAAGGAAGAACCTCTAAAGGACATTGCATGGCAGTACAGGTCACCTTGACTTCTGGCGGGCCAGCACAGCCTTGTTATCTTCACTTGATCTGCTCCTCAGAAATTGAGCTCAAGAGCAGAGTAAATCCGCATTCCTCACACATTTCGTTGAATTAGCTAGGCTGCTATCCTCTAGTCACTCAAGGCAGCAGCCAAGAGATTTTTTAGGCTTCTGGATCAGTAGCAACTGCAGATTAAATGTCATTAGAGAGGACAGCATTGATCCTAGGCCAACAAACCTCTATATAAGGCTATTAGAAGAAATGAGGCTGGAAGTGTCCATCCTGGACCTCGTGGATTTACACTCCTGCCATGTGACAGTAGCTCCCAGTTGTGCTATTGCTGGCGCTCAGTTCCGCAGCAGTGGTGGCTGTGCTTGTTATTTGTCCAGCTGCCTTGGCRCTGCGTATGTAAAGAAGACTTGAAAGGATTGAAAAAAGCTTAAAATAGCAGCCAAACGAGTACAAGGCTACAAATAGTGGTRTGTGTTGCCATGCTCTAATACGCCTGAGAACAAGCTTCAGACATTGGATATTGTCACAGATGTGCCCAGCACTTAATAAAGAGGAATTAGTGCCTTCAAGTATTTATGCAGAGTATAACTTATCATTGCAGTCTAAGCTGCCCTTCCTAATCTTAACAGTAAGTATATGAAAGGCTACTAAGTCAGTCTGTCATGTTGGTAAATGTTTATATTAAATATACCAGTCTTTTACACTCTTTAATGTGTTTTATTTAACCTGCTGCAGTCACTGGCCCTTGGCCAGTTTTAATGTCAACTATAGYAACAACACCAATGAAGAGTAAGTACCAGCAGCCTTTGAACATCTCTTTGCCACTAGTTCCTTCTAGTTTTCCCTTTTTAGCCTAGTAATATATGTAGTATAGACTCCTGCTTACCTCTTTCTAAACCCTTCCCAAGCATATAGTTCAATTACAGAGAAAGATCTTGTTTTGTCAGTTCCAGAGACTTCCTTCATGCTCCTCATGAACCACATTTTGTCCTAAGTTGCCCTTCCCTCTCCAGCAGTGAATTCAGTTACCTAAGCATTTAGTCTCTCCTCCTCTACTTCAGCTGGCTGATTTACTGCATTGCCAATAGATTTGTTAATGATTGAGTTTCTCAAGGAGATCCATGTGTTCATCTTCTAACAGTGTCTTTCYTCTGTTAACCTACAGGTCATTTTTGCAAATCAAGTCCCTGAATAATTTCAGATTGTTACATGAGAAGTCAATTCAGGGCAGGGTACCAAAGACACGTTTGAATGTGCAGTCTAAATGACACCTGAGCATCTTTCTGTAAGGTGGGGTTTAGTTTAGCCAGGCACTCTTAGTGTGGGTGTAGAGCGTGTGGCAGATGATAAACAATATACTAAGGCTGGCACCACACCAGCTCTGGCAGAAGCTGTCCTTTGGAATCTCTTATATATTTGACAAGATAGCTCACAGCATTCCTCCAAGGAGAAGTTTCTTGAAAAGATGAAGGACTCCTGTAATTTTAAATCACCCAACACTGATGTTTGTTACATGTCTTCAGTCACAAATGTTGGAGAACTTGTCTGCACTGTAATCTCCAAGAGCAAGTTTGTTCTTTTACATGACAATAGTTAATTTCTTTCATTACATTTCAGATTAAAAAAAAGAAATTAAAACATCAGGACAATTTTCAATCACGTCAGAAATATCCCTGAGTTTGTTGTGTTTTGTCCCCAGTGCTCCCTTCGGTTATATTCCTTGTGGTTACATTAGACAAACCTAAGAATAGCATAAATGAGATCCATCTTTACATCTAGCTCATCATATTCTAATGRTCTGAAAGTTGTGTATAGCTAAACTGTAGGGAAATACGTATCTGGGATGTGGATCTTGGATGAAATCTTGCAGTTTAGGTGTGTGCAAGATGCTATGGAATGGCAATGATGTGCAGAAATAAAGACAGAAGTTTTATGTCGAAATATATTGTATTTTGTTGTGTGAATAACACTTAATAAACATGGAGACAACCCTGTCTCCGTTAAGTCAATGCAAAACTGGTAGATTTCAGTGAGGGTAGAATTTCATGCTTAATGCTCAGGCTTTGCATACAATGACAATATTGCGAAGACAGCAGCTTGAGCATTACTGATCTGATCACMTGTGGACACCTGCATTTGTACTAGCCAAGCCATTTTTCCTTTATAGCTGATGGAGAAAGAAAAATAGGTGCTTTTAGGTCATCTCATTCTAATGTAGAGATTTAAAATAATTTGTGTTAGTTGTTCTGATTGTATAAGCACAAGACCATGTGTAGAGATCTGAAGTGAAATGAAACTCTTGATTTTTTTTCTGCCTTTTCAATCTTTCCTCAAAGATATTAGCTAGCATTCTTCTCCAAGTCTTTTGAAGCCAGAGGTTATTGACTGTGACTACTTTGGTTTTAAGGAACTGGGAGAGAAGGTTCAGATCCATCAAAGACAAATTAATTTCATTTAATCAATACTAAAGCTTCCAGCAGGCACTGTGAGGGTTCATATATGACAAGAGTATTGATAGCTTGTTAAACCACTGCTAGACAAACTGGAACGTTTAATTAAAACAAGCCTGGTACATGATGTGTGAAAAGGCCAACAAAGGGGGAGTGACTAATGCACAGCATCAGCCAGCTGGTTACCTGCTTTACTCATGTGCTGCTGGTAGTTCTAGAGCCTAAGCCTGTAAACCAGTTACAGCTGGATGAATGGTTCTGCCCAGAGAAACCCTGTCCTGCTCTCTCCAGCATCCTGGTTTCTTGTTCCTTGTAGTTCCTTGTACCACTGATCCTCTCCCCTCACTAGTAGAAAATTGGTAATGTTGCTAAGCCTTACATTATGTTATACAGCAAAAAGGAAGAAAAGAAAGAGGTTAAAGAGGAAAAGAAGGAGGAAAAGAAAGAGGAAAAGAAGGAGGAAAAGAAAGATGACAAAAAAGATGACAAAAAAGATGATAAAAAAAAGGAAGAGTAAGTATACAGAATGAATGTGCGCTTGTAACACACCTCCTGTGCTACAGAGCATGCTGTGGCGTCTTGTGGTAACCCTGCCACTCTGATTATTGTTCTGTAGCTTGCAGAATGTTATATTGTTTTTACAGTTTTCCCTTTGAATACAGTTTTCCCTTTGAAATGGTGCCACTGCTCAGCAAATTTGCTGCATCTTAAAGACTTGTTTCAAGACGTACTGACCTACTCCCTAGGTCAGTAAAAGGGAATTCACCCATCTCTGATCATTTTGGCTGTTCAAATGCTTTTTATTTTCCCCTACCAAGGCATTTTAGGATAGCCCTTGCTTTGCAAATCTGTATGAGGTTTGCATGGTTCTAGTGTATTTGTAATAACTCGAAGCAGATGGTCCAAAAGCCTAGTCTAGACTTAGAACAAAAATACAATGCAGGCAATTACAGATATACTAAAAAATTTAGTTTATTCATAATTTCTGACAAATATGTGAGGAAGATGTCTGCTTAGCGTGAGTCCTTACCATGAGCAGCATCTCTGATTACTTATGGTGCAATTGTTTACTAGTAATTAGTAAGGCTTGCTTTACTGATGATTAAGAGCTGCTGAGTTTCTGTGCAAATAAATGAAATCATTTGACTGCTCTTAACAGAAATGTATCGTGGTCTCATTTAGCTGCCACAGATTTGACATGAGCATAATTCAGTTTAGTATTACCAGTCACAAAAATGTAACAGTGGCAACAGATGAGAACCGAGTGCGTTGGCCTGGACTTCACAGTTAAGGAGTAGGTTAAGTGATGAATGTATTGCAAGCTTGTCTGTGTATATGGCTGTGTGTGCTATATAGATGTAGTGACATTAGTTGGGAGTCACTTCCAGATTGGAACTGCTTAATCTCCAGATCTTGACTTTCTTTCTTAAACAAAACTTGGATTTGAAAGCTTTTTTTTTTTTTTTTCCTAAGGATTCTCTTTCGGCTTCAGTTACTGTGTAATGAGAGCCTGAGCTTTACATCACCCTAAATCAACTTAAAACATTTCAGCAAGTAATAGAAGTGTTTTTAAAATGTCTGGAGGACAGTGGAATTGCCAAATGAAGACCATATTTCATGGTCAGTAGATTTGAGGGGAGGAATTGAGGTGAGGGGAGGAATTGAGGTGAGAAGAAACGGCTAAAAATCTACAGTCAGAGTAGCAAAGTAAGTATTTCTGAGGTTAAGATTACCTTATTAAAACCATCACCTGGGTTGATATTCAGCTGATGGCAGAGACAGTGCTAGAAATACACACAAATATGCAGTATGTAATCTTTACATTTTAAAATACTTTCATTCCTGCAAATTGGGAAAAGTCGCACAAAGAAATACCCAAGTGTTGCTCAGCCACTTATTCCACCTGCTGTTGCACAGCTTACAGATGACACCAACATGTTGCTGCTGGAGTGACTTCTGGGCACATGAGGGTGCACACAGTTGTAATCAGTTGTTGTGTAATCAGGTGCTCGAGTATGTGTGTTTAATTTGTTTAAATGCAGGGTCATACAGTCATTTCAGTAATACAGGGATTTGCCAAAAATGTCAAAATTAATCCCCACAGGAAGACTTTTCCTCTGGCTGTGGACTATAGTCTTCTATCAGGAGTGATAGTGAGAAATATATAAAGTTTTCTTGTTCAGTGGTGGCCATGCACTGAAATGGTGGTATTTTCAGCCAGTGTGATTTGGAAATCTTATTTTTTCTTTCTGTTCTTGCTAATCTTTTTTCCAAAGTTACATGAGGCAGGAATAGATTGTGTCAAATTAATAGAYTGTGTCAAATGAGATGAAGCTTTCAGCTGATATTTGGTATATATCCATGCCAGCACTTGGGATACTCTCTCTTTTTAGGCAGCTGTGTGGTAATTGTGAGACGAGCAGCCTCCAGCAGAGGGAGATCCAGAGGATCCTTATGTTTCCAGTGTAACCCGTGTGTTTCACTTTCCAGGAAGAAAAAAGAGGTCTTTGTGATAGATCCTTCAAGCAACATGTACTACAACTGGCTGACAATAATTGCAGCACCTGTGTTCTATAACTGGTGTATGATAGTGTGCAGGTACGGATTCAAGTTACTAACAATTTTAGGTTTCAAATGTAAAATGTCTTGTTACGTTTCTTCCATATACGATCCATTTACCTCCCTGTGGCATCTTTTGGGAGGCTTACCTAGAAGCTTTACAGTTCGTATATATTTAACATTACACGATGTACATATCACAAGAAATAAATGGAAAATTTTATTTTTAATCCTTTTTTTTCCCTGTATAAATGGATTTTACCTCGCGAAAAGCAGCCCGTGGGCTGCGCTGGCATGGCCTTTGGGGGCCACCTACTGGCTGCCGGCAGGGATGTGCCTTACTGGCCAGGGGCCTGGCCACTGTCCTTGCAGGAGTCATTACCTAGGCAGTGTAGATGGACATGGCAATTCAGAGGGCAGGTGAATAAAAGAGATGAGTGGGACAGTGAGGGGAAAACACAGTTTGAGGAAATTTATATCATGCATATGATTTTTTAAATCTAGACCTGTTTGCATTTGCGGATGCCAGGCTGGGAGTGCCTGGGTGTAGTCCCCATGAAACCTGGTGTAGGTTTAAATGTAGGGATATGTACATTCCTCTGCTCGTCGGCTTGTGCTGCACTGTGCACTTGTGCTGCATATGTGTGGTTTAAGTTTTGCTCCCAGCTTAGATAGGTTTACATTCTGTCTTCTTAGACATAGCTCCAGCGTGCACACTTGCAGGTGTGAGACATACTGCCTTGGTTTGTTCAGTGCTATTGACCTGCACTCACAGGCTGTTAGGAAACACATTCCGAGTGCTCTGCTCACATGTAAATTTTGCACTATTTTTGTTCCTTTAGAGCCTGCTTTGATGAGCTACAAATCGAYCATGTTAGGTTATGGCTGGTCTTGGACTATTGCTCTGATATCATCTATATTTTTGACATGTTCGTCAGATTCAGGACAGGTGAGTTCTTTTTTTACAAAACGTTGTTTTCAGATAACAACATGGATATAAAAGCCCGAGAAAAGAAGTTCCCTTGTGGAGTCTGCCCAGTGTAAGATCCTGTCTCCAGCAGAAATCAGCAAGGGAGGCTTTGGGATAATGAAGTGTGTGACCCGCTTGGCTTGTTGTGAGGCTTCGCTTCCCCGTCGCTGCATTCCCTCATCTCCATACCCAGCACCAAACAGGCAGGCCAAGGACTGACTGAACGGTCCAMACCCACTCTAAATGATGGGTCTTGTTATCTCAAGGTTGTCTTTTTCCCTCTGAACACTTTTCTGACTTTGCATTATATTTATTCTTGGAATTTATTTAAAAATACTCCACTCTGATTTTGTATACAATCAAAACATGCTTAACTTCAGTTCTGAGTCGTGCCGGTGGTTCATGAGGRATGAGACSGTGAATTCTGATGAATTCTGGTGARTTCTGAATGAGATGGTGTTCCCTTCACAAAGATGCCTGAAAGACACGGACACAGTTGTCCCAAATAGGGCAGCAAAGTGCAGAAGGTGCCAGGTAATAATCCGAGTCATTTCTCTGCATCCCCAGYTACTAGCTTTGAAACTTGAGATACTTAAATTCACAATGAAAAGCTTTTCATTAAATGAACTGCTACTATTTTTTTGGTCTGTGTAACAGTTCCAGTTTGAATGTTCTCAGATAGGTGAAGTGTAAGTCTCCTCGTGCTGCTGACTGTATTTCTCACCTGCCCTTTTATTCAAACTAGTAACGTGCCTTCCTTTTCTAAAGGCTTCCTCGAGCAAGGCCTGCTAGTTAAGGATGAAAAGAAATTACGAGAACATTACACCAAGACCATGCAGTTCAAGCTGGACGTGCTCTCCCTCCTGCCAACGGACCTGGCCTACCTAAAGCTCGGTCTGAACTACCCCGAGCTGCGCTTTAACCGCTTGCTCAGGATTTCTCGGCTCTTTGAGTTTTTTGACCGCACAGAAACCAGGACAAATTACCCAAACATGTTTCGCATCGGAAACCTCGTCTTATACATCCTGATCATCATCCACTGGAACGCCTGCATCTACTTTGCAATCTCGAAGGTCATTGGCTTTGGAAGCGACACCTGGGTGTACCCCAACGTGTCCGTTCCGGAGTACGCGCGCCTGTCCAGGAAGTACATTTACAGCCTGTACTGGTCGACGCTCACGCTGACGACCATCGGGGAGACGCCGCCTCCCGTGAAGGATGAGGAGTATCTCTTTGTGGTCATCGACTTCCTCGTGGGCGTGCTCATCTTCGCCACCATCGTGGGGAACGTGGGCTCCATGATTTCCAACATGAACGCCTCCCGCGCCGAGTTCCAGGCCAAGATCGACTCCATCAAGCAGTACATGCATTTCCGCAAAGTGACCAAGGACTTGGAGGCCAGGGTTATCAAGTGGTTTGATTACCTCTGGACTAACAAGAAAACGGTGGATGAGAAGGAGGTGCTTAAAAACCTGCCCGACAAGCTGAAGGCTGAAATTGCCATCAATGTCCATTTGGACACGCTGAAGAAAGTGCGGATATTCCAGGACTGTGAAGCCGGGCTTCTCATTGAGCTGGTGCTGAAGCTGAAACCTACGGTCTTCAGCCCTGGAGACTATATTTGCAAAAAGGGAGATATTGGGAGAGAAATGTACATTATCAAAGAGGGAAAATTGGCTGTGGTGGCAGACGATGGCGTGACACAGTTCGTGGTCCTAAGTGACGGCAGCTACTTTGGTGAAATCAGTATCCTGAACATCAAAGGTAGCAAATCTGGCAACAGGAGGACAGCCAACATAAGGAGCATTGGCTACTCTGATTTGTTCTGCTTGTCTAAAGATGATTTAATGGAAGCCCTCACTGAGTACCCAGATGCCAAAAAGGCCCTGGAAGAGAAAGGGCGACAAATCCTGATGAAGGACAACTTAATAGATGAGGAAGCAGCAAAAGCAGGAGCTGACCCAAAAGACTTGGAAGAAAAAATTGAAAAACTTGAAGCAGCTCTGGACACGCTGCAGACGAGGTTTGCTCGGCTCCTGGCAGAATACACCTCAGCTCAACAAAAAGTGAAGCAGAGACTTGCCAAAGTGGAAAACAAGGTGAAGAAATACGGCAGTGGCACCGTGTCAGAGCTAGAGGCTGAGGCTGCAAAACCTGAGGGGGAGAAAAAGGACTAAATGAGCATTTATGTTTTCTCGTTTGTTAGAGAAGGCTGAAGCATGTAAAAGCCATAAATATGTATAAATATATGTGTGCATACATAGATGATTATTTTTATATGGCCTCCAMGGTAAGGGTTTTTAGCATTTTTAACTGAAGCGGTATTTTCTTGTAAATTGAGCATTGTTACTTTCTTAGGGGAAGGTCTGGGGCTGTCGTTTRGGTGCATGTTTTGCACTGGGAGCGGGTTCCTTGCCCAGGATGCTCAGAACGGTGTCGCTGCGTGTAAGTCACAGGACACCTAGTCTCTTCCCGTGTTAGGAAGGCCCTGTATTTAAAGTGGAAGGGATTGGTTTTGGCTAAGGACTTCTGAAGTATTTGTAGGGTACGTGCTCTACCTTGCTACCTTCTTAGCCTATTAAACACATGGACTTACAGCAAGGCTTCTCCCAGTCTTTATTCCGACGCACTGAAGCAGCCTGGAGGCCTGCGGGTAGGGAGCGTGCACCTTGCTCTTCCCTTCACAGAGTGATGCCTTCCCCATTGGTGACAGCTTCCCTCCTGAGTAGCTGTCACACTTCCATGGTTTCACCGGCTACGGAAAACACGGGCCAGGTTTCCACGGAAGTTTTCCCTGAAAAGCACTGCGATGCCTGCAGGGGAGCTCACTGGCAGGAGGCTGCAGCCCCAAGGTACCAGCCCTCCCCTGCTATCCCCAGGGCCTGCCTCCCAGCCCGCCTTTCATTCATTTTCCAGACAGTTTTCCGTGGCCAGCGCTGACCCAGGCTGCGGGGCTGGCCGGCAGCGCCTCCCATGYGGGCTGCAGCCCGCGCTGGCTCTCTGCAGGGAGCCGTGTCTGCTCTCGCCCAGGAGGGCAGCACAGGCAGCAGGAGCCCCGGGCCGAGGGCAGCGCGGCCTCCCCTCCCGCCCTGGCCCCGGCAGGGGTGCAGCCGGAGCGCAGCCCCCTGCGGGCTGGTGGGCACTGCGCTGCGTGCTGCAGTTTTCACAGAATCACGGAATATTCAAGGTTGGAAGGGACCTCTACAGATCATCTAGTCCAACCTTCCTGCTCCAGCAGGCACACCTACAGMATGTGGCACAGGGCGGCATCCAGGCGGGTTTTGAAGACCTCCAGAGAAGGAGACTCCACAACCTCCCTGGGCAGCCTGTGCCAGGGCTCTGGCACCCTCACAGGAAAGAAGTTCCTCCTCATCTGGAGTAGGAACCTCCTGTGCTCCAGCTTGTGGCCATTACCCCTTGTCCTGTCGCTGGCCACCAGTGAGAACAGCCTGTYCCCTTCCTCCCTGCATTCTCCCTTCCTGAACTTATACATATTAATCATATCCCCTCTGAGCCGTCTCTTCTCCAGAGAAAACAGGCCCAGCTCGCTCAGCCTCTCTTCATACGAGAGATGTTCCATTCCCTTAATCATCCTGGTTGCCCTTCTCTGGACCCTCTCCAGAAGCTCCACGTCCCTCCTATACTGGGGAGCCCAGAACTGMMCMCAGTACTCCAGGTGCGGCCTCACCAGAGCTGAGTAGAGGGGCAGAATCACCTCCCTTGACCTGCTGGCAACACTCCTCCTGATGCAGCCAGGATGCCATTGGCCTTCTTGGCCACGAGGGCACACTGCTCACTCATGGTTAACTTGGTGTCAACCAGGACTCCCAGGTCCCTCTCCGTGGAGCTGCTCTCCAGCAGGTCGACCCCTAAYCTGTCCTGGTGCCTGGGGTTATTCCTCCCCAGGTGCAGGACCCTRCACTTGTCCTTGTTGAACCTCATGAGGTTCCTCTCTGCCCAACTCTCCAGCCTGTCCAGGTCCCTCTGGATGGCAGCRCAGCCCTCCGGAGTGTCGGCCACTCCACCCAGCTTGGTGTCATCCGCAAACTTGCTCAGGGTGCATTCAGTGCCCTCGTCCAGGTCATTGATAAACAAGTTGAACAGCACTGGGCCCAGCACTGACCCCTGGGGGACACCACTGGCCACAGGCCTCCAACTGGACTCGGCCCCATTTATGACCACCCTCTGAGCTCTGCCATCCAGCCAGCCCTCGATCCACCTCATTTTCCCTGCACTTCTCCTGCCTTTGGGGAGCCAACTGCAGAGGAGCAGGGAGCGAGAGGCTGCCTCACGCCTGGGGCGCCAGCGCTGGGCTGGACTCAGCTCAGCACGGCTGCTCACAGGAAACACGGGCCTGGGGCAGCCAGGATGGATCTCCCTCCCACTGAGCCGGCTGAGGGAAAAGAAATGTCCCCAAGAGTTGGGAAGGGGGCTGTGCTGCTTCCATTGGCAAAGAGGCGCCTGGGTGAGACCCTGTGCTGGTGTCCTATTCATTCGGGAGCAGGAGCTTTGTATCGGATGGGGCTGCTTTGCAGGCACCTGTTGGCAGAAACACACTGCGCTCTTGGGAGACYGATGGTAATGCTGAGTCCTCCAGGTCTCAGGTTCTCAGTGGTGGCCAGTGACAGGACAAGGGGTAATGGGTACAAGTTGAACCACAGGCAGTTCCATCTCCATGTGAGAAGGAACTTCTTCCCTGTGAGGGTGCCAGAGCCCTGGCACAGGCTGCCCAGGGAGGCTGTGGAGTCTCCTTCTCTGGAGATCTTCCAAACCCGCCTGGGTGCCGCCCTGTGCCCCGTGCTCTGGGTGTCCCTGCTGGAGCAGGGGTTGGACTAGGTGATCTCTAGAGGTCCCTGCCAACCTCAGCCATCCTGTGATGCTGTGATTCTGTGATATCCTTAAGTGCAGGGCTCCAGGCTCCATGGTTCTGCTGTGTGACAGAGCCAGGCGCCCCTGCTGCACTGCCCCACGGCAGCTCGTGGTGGAGGTCGCTGCCCACCTCCTGCTCGCGCCTTCCTCACGGGTCARGGCTGACGGGCTCTCACGCTCAGTCGGTGTCAGTCTCTGTAAATTCACTACCCACCTTGCTACAGCAGCCCCGCCTGTTGGGGACACACGAGAACGGCTATTTTTAAGTGTCCTTGCTTACCGCAAGCTTAGCCCTGTTGAAGAGTGCCCATAAGAACACTTGCTCTTTACGTGGTGGATCACGCAGCTGTGTCTGGGCAATTGCAGGTAGATAGACACTGCGCTCCCGCCCCGCTGCCCTCCAGGACCGGCCATTGCAGGGCAGAACAAGAGCCGCTTCAGAGCTGCCRGCTCCGAGCCCTGCTCAATACTGATCTTGGCACGGTGAAATCACCTCCTTTGCCATCTTCTGCACTTTATTTCCCTTCCTTTAGAATCATGGAATCATTAAGGTTGGAAGCGACCTTTAGAGATTGTCCAGTCCAACGCCCTTGCACACACAGGGTCACCTAGAGCACGTGGCACAGGGTTGCGTCCAAACGGGTTTGGAAGCTCTCCAGAGAAGGAGACTGCCCAGCCTCCCTGTTCCAGGGCTCTGTCACCCTCACTGTTAAGAAATTTTTCCTTAMGTTCCYGTGGAACTTGAGAACAGATGCAGCATCTACGTTTATGCACATGTGTATTTTGAGTAACATTCCAGCCACCACATGTTTCCCCTTGTCCATAGCTCATGTTTTTCAGTGTTCACCACAGGTGACAGACCAAAGGCCCTCAGGAGCGGAGCGGGAATCACAGAATCCTTAAGGTTGGAAGGGACCTCTAGAGATCATCTAGTCCAACCCCCCTGCCTTGCACAAGCAAAAGCAGCTTTGGCAGCCTCAACCACAGGGACGCGGGGCTTCCTCATCCTGTGTCTCCGAGGCCGAACACAGGCGTTTAACGCTCCTCTGGAAGCAGCAGGATCCCCTGCTGTTTTCCCCACCACTCTGCAGATGCCTGTGGTCACGTCCAGGCCCAGAGGACACTGTTCAGCTCCAGCAAAGACCTGCCCGATTTACAACAGTAAGTTAGGGTGGGTTTGTAAAACCAGAGCTTCATAAACGGGATAGGAATTTACTAATAGTTACCTATTTCTAACGGCTTTACCCGGCTGCCGTCCCGGTCCGTTTATTCTGCCAGCTGCCCTGCAGGCTTCTCCGYGCGCGGCCGAGGGCAGCTTGTACGCGCCCGGCCGCCGGCGCGGTGCTGCGCAGCGCGGAGCCGGGGGCTGCGACACCCCGAGCGGGGGCTGCGGCACGCGGAGCCGAGGGCTGCGCGCAGGGCGGCAGCTCTGGGGCTCCGGGCTGGACGCGGCCCCGGGGGCTGCCCTCCTGCAGCCCAGGCTCCGGTGCCTGCCTGCTGCGGGGGGCACCAGCCCCGGCACGGGCCCGGACAGCCCTCCCTGTGGTCAGCCCAGCCCTGCTCGCCCTTCTCGGGAAGCCCTTTCCAGAAACCTTCCTGASAAGACACAGGCCTCCAGCTGTGGGGCTCCGGGCTCCCCCAACACATGTTCACCTGCRGACAGACCTCTGGGGTTAAGTCGAGTTCTGCTGCCTTCTCAGGAAAGCTCAAGCGCTTTGCTGGGAGCTCRGGCCAGGACAGCCCTTCAGGGCGCATCCTGCTGGCTCCGAGGCACAGGGCAAGGCAAGGATGGGGCAGCAGCACCTGCAGTCTGAGCCCAAYGAGCTCCTCACGCCGAGGTGGGAAGGACAGAGGGAAACACCCGGCTCTGCCTCACCCAGCAAGTGGCAAACACATTCCGGGCATGAACCAAATACCTTCGTATTAACACGCTGAGGATACCCAGAYGGAAGAGCACCAGGATCCGGCCCTGTGGAAGCTGATGCTCCCGTTCGCGTGGGAGAGTATCCAGGTGCTGCCCCTGTGCACGTCCCTTCCCAAGGGAAATCCTTCAGGCATAACCTTCCAGCAGGGTCTGGCAGATGTTAAGTGAAGGCGCAGGATTCTCAGGCTGTTCCTAAAACTGGGGATAGGAGAAAGCCRAACAACTACAAGAGCCCCTGGAAGCTGCATTTTGTGCTTTAACCTACGGCCTCTTCCAGCAAGCCGAGGCCGACTGCAGGGCTGCAGCTGGGGAACGTGTCACAGCCCCAGCCTTCACCCTACCTGAAAGCGACTCCTCAACAAACAACTTACACAATAATATACTTTAAAGGCCAGTACAATTATTTAAATCTTAAGGCTAAAGGAAGATTAGAAYGCCCAAAGCCTACACCTTTACAATGCCAGCACTTCAGCGAGAGAGCTCTATTTCTGACAACGCTGCCTCTCCAGCTTTTGGACTGGTACAGATGGAAAAGCACAACTTCAGTCTTGCCTACCTGTCAGCGGGGTGTAACTACCACCCSCTGCGACAGCAGAATAAACCAGAGTACAGGGATACAGTCGGGATGGGGGCAGCCCGCTGCGCTGCGCACGCTGTACAACCGGGCGCTCCGGCCGTGACCGACGGGGCCAGCCCAGGCGGGCGCCACAGCGACCTGCCCTCACCCGCAGCACCAGGCGCCCCCGCTGCAGGGCCCGGCGGCGGCAGCAGCGGCAGCAGCAGCAGCGGCAGCAGCAGCAGCGGCGGCAGCAGCAGCGG